CATGCCATGATTCTCATGTTTGGACGTGTAATTTACCTTCGTCGTCGATACACGTCATGTAATACCAAATTCGGTATTAGTGAAGCTCGAGAAACGACCGCGAGCGCACCATGAGCATGGCGTGTAGTGATGACTTACATGAAATGCATGTCTTGATTTTACGTTAGGATCTGTTTCTTACGTTCGCCATGCAGTCATGTCATACCATACCACACTTTCATTATGTCACGCGAACTAAACCATCCTAAGACCAGCAACACCATGAAACTTGAATCATGACATTCATGACATGCATATCATGGTTTTCATGTTACGACTAGTCAGTTATTCTCGTCATACAGTCATGTTATGGCATACCACGTTTAGTATGGATACGAATATTGAAACGGGCAGGAGAGCTGAAAGTTGTAGGTGGCTAGATAGATAGATAGATAGATATATATAGATAGATAGATAGATAGATAGATAAATAGATAGATAGATAGATAGATAGATAGATAGATAGATAGATAGATACGCTCAAAGTCGCCGATGTTTGCTAAGAGATGATTCGCATTTAAAAGCCTCCAACTAGACAACACTGTTTCCACGTGATTAGCAGAACACGCAATAACTAAACCAAATTGTGAATGCTCTCTTTCGAGCTCAGACCAATCAGGCTAACGGGCCCCGCCGCGAATGAGTAAAACTCGAGAAAATGGCTTGAAGAGGGAACAGGCGAAAGCTTTTGCAAAAAAAAAGTGTGAGAGGCACTACGCTATCGCTGTGCACAGCGTAGGGCTTTCGCGCGAAGAAACAAGCACACGCAGGACCGGCCGGCGGCTTCAGAGTACGCAAGCTTAACGCGCGCGTTCGCAGAGACGCACGCCGCTCCAGCGGGCGAGCGAAAAGCGCTCACGTTGGCAAAGTTGCAACCGGGATCGTGGGAGAGCAATCACGCGTTCGCGGTGAAACCCCAAGCGTAAACACAGGATACAAGTGGCCGCACGGACGGAGCGAGAGATGGAAGGAGGGCGCGAACAGTTAGGCCGCACGTCTCCGCTCACTGCGCGCTCCGGGCACGTGCTAGCAAGTCTAGTAACGATGTCGGCGGCTGTCTGCGCTGCACGCGCTCGGCCTTAATGCATCGCAGTTGCAATGGCCCGGTGAGTGCGACGCACAACGCGCGCTTTCATTCCGACAAGAATGCCCCAACAAGGCTACTGCAGAGGTTTCCGTGGCACGGCTTGGCTAGCTGTCTCTGCTTTCTTGTTTTTCCGCGTGGTCACGAACGAGAAGAAAAATGAGCAAACTTATAATCGCACTCTCCTGGATTTCCCGCATTTCTGTTAATTCTCAATTCATGTGGCAGCGGCATCGGCGCCGAATGAAATACCGCGGAGAAATGCACATTGCGGTGCATGCAACGACCGATCGCACTGATGTCGGCCAGATTACCTGGCATGAGCTCCGCACGTGACGTACTGTACAGACGGAATAGATAGAAAGACAAGCTGTATCCCACATTGAAACACTATTTTTATATTCATGAATAAAAAAACAGCGAAGCTAAAAAAAATGAATGCCACACGCTGGTGAGTCCTAGCCGAACGTGACTTTGGTCTTTGCTTCCATCGGCTATCTTCCATCAACATAATTGCAGGCGTGCGTTACTGTACCGTGAAGTAAAGTCGTTCGACGCTAAAAGAGATCAGGAAACACGCATGTCTCGATGGTTGTTGCAATATGCTGTATGTCATATAAAATACTTGGGCCTTCTTTGAACTTACCCAGCTTCCCCCGAATCGCCGGGTCGTGGTCTCTCTTCACTGAGATATAAGCGATAAATACACATTACTGACTATTGACTACAAGCAAAAATATGTGAAGGCAAAATTAAATTTCACCTAAGTAATGCATACTGATTGCCCAACACAATATCGGACACTATAGTGTCTTTTATATAGTGCCTTTTTCCTGTCTCCTTTCTCGTTTTCCTTCATCTTGCACGGCAAGACAAGTTACAGTTTGTGGTTATATAATGCGCAAAAACTGTATTTTTTTAAAAAAAGGGCACTCTCATGTTCGATGAAAAGAGCAGCGTGCTTCTCTGCTTAACAATGACTCATTGGTGTTACTTCTTTCATATGAATACCCCAACCTCCGTAATAATTAGTGAATCAATTTTCAACAAATTTTTCTGTTTATTTTATCACAAAAACCTCACATGCAATTATCAAAATTGTTCGCATTTATTAGCAATGTATCTGCACGTGTACTGTTCATGCGCTGCTTAAATGACAAAAAGCCTCTTTGACTTAGCGAAGTACCGACAGATAATAAAAATAATGGATAATAAAATATGATACCAGAATAAAAAGAAGTGTTTCAGTATAAAATTACAACATGTGAGTTTTAGCCAAATGGCTCATATAGAAGGGAATGCTAAGCAACAAAACCTTGCCACTTAGCAAAACCCTGCCCTGTCTAAAAAACAAACAACAACGTACAAACCAAACCGAATCTCAATAGAAACACGCTCAAGTAATGTCGATGCGTATGAGTATATAAATTGTTCCTCACCTCTTTAACGGGAAATCGCATTAGGTTTCAACACACGTGGTATAGAAGGCTCAGGTGCATAAAAATATATATGTATGCATGCACCTCACGTCATTGTTGTCACATGCATCGCCTTCGTTTTCGTCTCATCGCTGCGCCGACTTCGGGCACTGCATGCATCTTTGTCTGCATTCTACCACAGAGATCGATAGCTTGTGCACAGGGTAGCCGACAGACGTATACATTGCATGAGATTACCGGCTCTATAGGATGAACGTGCGAACTACTTTACACGCATCGCGCATAGTGGTGCAGAATTTGATCATACTCGTCACAAGAGCTTCATTTCACAAGTATTGGTTACGTGCGAAACACAGACTTCAGTTCTTTCTTCCCATGCCTTCACAATTTGATTTGATGTTTGTTTACAGCATACATGGTAAGGGCTGGAAGTACGGGTATACAGTTTGTTGTCTACAAACACGGCATATACGACGTTCGTACTTTGACTTTTGTGCCTCTGTTGGCGATATGTCAATCATCTATGGTTAAGTTTCTATTGCATACAGTATTGTGAGCGACTGCGATGTTATGAAAGCTCTATCGCTACTTTTTGTTTTAGTCTGTATTTCTCTCTTTCTATCTTTTTGTCTTTGCAAAATACAGTGAGAACACAAGGCCCAATATGCAAAGTGTACGAGAAGTGTCGTCTCTGTAGTAGGAGGGAATGCTAGAGATTTTACTTGTTTTGGCACGGACATTTTTACCCTTACATACGCATAAGTGAAACCAGGTAAATCTTGGCCTTACAATCTGAGCCCACAGATTACAAAGTCGTCCAACAAGGCACACATATAAAAACAAACCTTCTACAACATCTTTTCCGAAAACATAATTTTCGGAATTGCTAATAGAACAGACTAGCATTTCCCTGCACGGTATTGTATGACCGCTGCGAACTTTGTTTCCTTCAAGTGAAAGCGACATGGCTGCTCCGTCAAATGGTTTGTATTTTATTCGTGACTGCTATTTAGAACTGCGTTTGCATTTTACACACTTCAAATGCGCTTACCCGTTCAAATTCCTCGAGAGTGCCACTGTAGTCAAATAAATATGTGTGCCTATTAGTATAGTCTGATTACCGCTTAGACCTTGAAGAAAATTTCTAGCTCGTAGTCGCACTAGTATGCAATTATCACAATGGGGACTGCAGTCATAGTGGTGGTGTATTTATTACGAAAACAAAACAACATCCCGTAACCCTTCCCCAAGAGAAATACGCTTATTACAGGCTGCAAATATAGGTGCTGGCACAACGTCAGCGTACATACACTGTGCTTTGGTATACTCGTCTCACTTCACCACATGGCCATAGACACACGGTTTTTATACATACTCTTCATGCTTACGTGGCGAGCGTATTTTATGTCGCTCAGTTAAGTCTGCTCCTTGCTAGCCCATACATATGCGATTGTATCGCCCAGAAAAGAATCGTCCCGGTACAGACTGTCTGGGAAGGAAGCGATAGCTGATATCTCGGGTGAATCGATGCATGAACCGCCACGCATGAGAAAAGATGGTGCCTTGAGTCGTTTCTCGGTAAGCTCCTAAACATGCTATAACGGATAGCGGAGGTATGAGTATGCTCGTTGTACGAAATAACGAATTAACAGCCTTGTGTTCAATGTAGTTACCATCGAATGACGTTGCAATTAAATCACAGTAAATTAGGACACGCTCGCATATTAAATTTACGACGACATTCGTCTTCATGGGCCCGATCTTCGTTTTCTAACAGAGCACGAAACCAGACAAATGATGCAAGGACTGCTGCAACTCTACTTGTTTCTTCGTCTGCCACCTAGTTTCCTGCTGTTTACTAAAACGAAGCACCAGAAAGCCCGCTGTCGGGCCCTATTTCTGCTATTACGCGCAAAGGTTAGGTTACCACAAGTGAGAACAACTATCAGAATGCTCACTGTCGGTAATTTTATCGCATCAGCGCTTGCTTTCTGTATGCTTCAAGATGTTTCGAGTTCTCGAGGGCACATTTATTTCAGAGGCCTCCCAACCAGATGTAGACTACATTCAATTGGCTTTTGCTGTGGTGCTCGTAGGGACTGTCGAATCTATATTTTTGTACTATTGCTAACAAAACAGTTTCAGCAGGACGCGCTCTTCTGTCCATAGGTGTGACACCCCGATGAGTATATTCAGCATGCGTATAGTGATGGCGCATGAAGTTATCGCGGCCTATTCGTCATGACACGACCTTCAAGAACACAATATTTGCGGAAGACAATGTTTTGAGACCATGTATATTAAAGACCCCTATGCAGTAAGCCATCAAAGAAGCGTTGCGCCTATTGACAGTAAAAGTGAGGTGTGCTTCCACTGATGACTTGATTGTGGGCACTAATGTGCGTGAATCTACGTCTTCAACGCATCTTTTCTTCTAATTTCTTTTTTCCCTTGAGCCTCTGTGCCTTTTTTTCATTCGCTTCCTTTCATACAACGGTAAGTGGGGTTCCATCACCAATAGGGTGGTAGCGGGGGCAGCCTCGGGGCGGGTGCAAAGCGTGCTGGTGGAGCGCGGCCCCGCTGGTGCCCTGAAGGTGCCCGGTCGGCCATTGTGGGCTCGCGGTATGCGGCCAAGGGCGGCGGTGACGCGAAGCTCTGAGGAGAGAAGCCACGGTAGCTCTCAGCGGCAAGTTCCTGCTTCTCTTTGAGCGCCTGACACTCGAACACATCCTTGCAGCTGTAGCCGAAGCCTCGACCATAGCGATCCGTGGTGAAGCCGAATCTGTACGGGTCCATCCTGCAATCGCAAAGGTAGAGGCGCTAGTGAGAAATGTAAGGACAGTGGGAAAATGTCCCCGCTGTGAGACACTGCGGATATTACAACTATAACCGAGGGTAAAAAGGTGAGGCAAGTGCAGGGCTTGGGGTCTCTTGCATACATTTGTAACTATGCTTACTATTAAAAAAAAACGTCTCCTGTCTCTTTAACGTGACAATATTATCAGTGACCCGCCGGAGCAGTTAGCAGTTGTAACGTTGCGGTGCTAAGAGTGCCGGCGCAGTTTTGATGGAAGCGAATTTCAAAGAAGCCCGTCCGCTAATATTGGGTTCCACGTTGAGGAACTTTCAGTGTGGTTTGTCCAAATTCCCACGCAAGGCCTTGTTTACGGATTCACAGGGTTTCCTATGCACTTGCCTGAGACGTGTTTATCGTGAAGTCTATTTTCGCATTTTTCTTCTAAGCCGATGTAATGGCCCTCCCCAGCAATCTCTGAAAGCTTTCTTCCTTATAACGTGCTTTCACAGGTTAGGTGAGAGGCAATGCTTACAGGATCGGAGGCATGGCAAGCGTTCTGCACCTCACCTGGTCGTGCAGTGCCCTGTGATCAGGCCACATCTGACTAAGCGATAGTGTCATGTGGTGATGCCACCAAATGACGTCATGTTAGGTGCCGTTCCAATGCCGTCATGATAACCTTGTGGTGACACCACAATATTCGATATTCTTTGGCGTCAGCGGCAACGGTCAATTTTCGCGTTTCATGAGGTATACAAGGCTTTCTCCTTATTATGTTTTCTTACAGCCTTGTTATTTAAATATTGAAATACACCCAATATTGTTCAGCATAAATATATGGAATCCCATAAATTCAACGCAGTTGCTGCGTAGAAGTCTTCGCCGGAGGCTTCGTAATGACTATCACCTCATGCGACGACCTTGTTTAGTCACCACTTTAAAAGCTTAGGGAGACCCCTGATTTCAGTCAATTTACCAATTGAAGGACATCGTAGTTGAAATCAACAAGAATAAATGAACATACGCCGGGCAGGTAGCGCGTGGACAGGATAACCGCTGGTCATTAAAAATAGGTGACTGAATTCCCAGAGGAGACAAGCGGGTTAGTGGGAGACAGAAAGTTAGGTGGGCAGATGAAATCGGGAAGTCTGCGGGTATAAAGTGGCAGCAGCAAGCACAGGACGGAATCGACTGGTGAAACATGGAATCCTGACAACGTCCTGCAGTGGACGTTGTCAGGATGATGATGAAGATGATGATGATGATGATGATGATGACCAATGGAGAGGTAAGCGAAACCATTTCTGAAGCTCCACAAAACCCTTCTAAAACAGCTACAAAAACACGTGTTTTGGGAGGCCCACTATGTGATGTGACAGCAGCCCCTTTTATTTTTGCCATAACTCAGTGCAGAACCGCTTAGCATTGCGGCTGAGCTAATTTATATTTCTCCATCTCCACGGGATGGTTGTAAAGTTTTCTTGCAGATTCCTTTGTGTGCAAGCATAGAAAAGTTAAGTATAATTTTATAGGCTTACACATTTGAAGGGCAAACATAGCTAGAAACAGGTTGGATGTGGCTGCAGAGCGCACAACTGTTTGACGGGCTGTTGAGATCGAGTTGGCTTGGCACCATATTTTGACCACTTTTTGCCAGGGAGAAATAAAAGGCACCTACTCCACGCTGCATATTGGATTAACTTATTACAGCCCCCTTCCCCCCACTCTCCTTGCAGGGGGTCCCTCATCACTTATATTGGTTAACATAGGACCCCAGAAGCATCTAGGGTTGAGAACCGCGCCTTAAGATCTCGCATCAAGCGCTAATTCTTTCCGACGAAGGCGAAAGTAAAAAACAATTAATGTAAAAAATATTGTTATACAAATGACAAAAATAACTGTTGTTACACATAAAACAGGCATTTATATTGATGAACATGTAAACGCGAAATCTGGTGGCAAGCAACGTTGCACCGAGCTTCTCCGCAATGACTCTTAAAGACTATGAATTTAGAAAGTGTTGACATAAATTTGTTTGTACAGTATGACACAGATGTATAGTTTAGCGCGGATCTGGACCCTAAGTTATGTTTCATTACAGCACTGCATTGCGTTCTGAGTTGATTCATGGAATACCCCAGCACAATTGCAAATATTATCTGGCGCCCAAATCCCCCCCTCCCAACACACATAAAAATAGAATTAGAAAACATCATGTTACACTCCCGGGATATCACTGACAGCACCCCCTCCACTTCTCTTACTTTCGCATGCCTATGGAACTGATAAACGTGTGCAAGAGTAAACGCATCCTTAGAGCAAGAAGAAAGGCACGCATGGAAGAACAAAGGTTCATTATTTCAGGCATCTGTGCTGCTACGATGGGATCAATATCTCAAGTCCCATGCGTCTTGGCAGTGGAGATGTTTACATGGTGGCCCTATGACTTATGTAGCTTACAAGGACAAGTTATCAAGGTTTTCATCAGCGTGTCTCAAGCTCAAGTACTGCAGACAAAGAACTACCAAAAAGAGGAAAGCAGCTCCCTTATTCACGAAGTTTCTCAAAATAGCTGGCTCTAACTAGCCTGCCTTGTTTTTACCTGATGTAAGTGGTGAGAGCGGTCACTATTATTATTCGCTCGTGTATGTCGCGGGTGGTGTCCAAATTCAGATAAACAGAATGCGCGCCGCACGCAGACGAGAAGTGGCGGGCAAGCGCACACAAGAGTCAGAGAAGGGGCGAGAGAAATCACCTTTATAATGAATATGCGCGGATATCTCGTTGCCGCATGTGGTAGTTCCGGCTTCCAGGTAATTTTCTTGCCTGCTGTGATGGTGATGATAACCCCGGCGATTATGGCCGCGATAAGGGATCATAACGCGCCATGAGGTGCAAACTGCGTGTCGTTTACAGCACAAAGCACCCACGAAAAAAATCACCTGCCCTGTACAAGAGGACAGCCAGCCAGGAGCACACCGCAAGGATGTTAAACAAACGGCCGCTCGTCAAAGAAGAAGTGGTTCCTCCCATTCATGCATTGCGGCGCCACTCTCTCCAAAAAGAACAATCACAGTGCGAGGATGGGAATCGTTATTCTTAGGTTTACAAAAAAAATTATATTTTCATTGAAGAACCCGTGCGAAGCGCAGCTATGGGACTTCCTAAATTACCAAGTTCTCTCATAATATAGATTTTCTGGCAACGCACCCTGATTTAGGTTTTAATTTGTCTTCGCAATGAAACAGTAAGTACATTGCAGTTCTAATCCGGTCCAGGCACAAACGTATATACATCTTGCAAATGTTATGAAGGAGGAGCAGAACACGAAGGAGCTCTTTTTGGGATATGTCCTGGTCATTTGTGTGTACGTTGAAGGAGTGCTTGCTCTCAGTACTTCTGAGACATCTGAGACCGAATAGCTTAATAGGCGACGATTGTGAGACTATTGTGTACTCTAATAGGGAAAACTTATTGCGTGATGTTTCAGGCCTTCGTACTTCACTTTTGCTGGGAAATACACTATTCAATTTTTGTTGTCTTGCTGGTACAGAAAGTACTGCACATGGATATTTTCCCTTCTTTTTGCTTTTTATGCGCGGTTATTGAAATGCCAAGTATTCGAAGTTACCTTTTGAGAAACCTTAAGTGTTGGGACGTGAAGATTGTACTGCATTCTTCAGTACACATAATCTTCACTTGATGACTTCAATAGCATCTAAACAGTGTTTTCCGTACAAGCACCAAGTAATTCAACCACAGCTTATGCTCTGGTTAATGGCGGGTCTTGTTCAATGAATTAGGCATTAGTAGGCTCTAAAGAGGCTCGTTTTGTTGGTCGCGAAAACACGTGGCCCTGTTTATTGATGACACGCGGTGATCGTGTTATTTGTTATTCTGTTCATGCTGCGTCTCAGTTGTTACTTCGCGTCTAAACGTCTCAGTTGTTACTTCACTGTGTCTGAAAAGCGCGCTCTTTTCGTAAATGGAGGCTGTGCAACTATTGTAGTGACCTTTGTGCGCCCGTTAACTGCAACAGGGTCGTTCCAACAAATCCCAAAGGCAAGCCAAGACGTACGATTCTCCCCACTGAAGATAAATGTGCGCGATTGACCATACACCCTCTTATTCTCTACGCGGGCCAAAGTACGCGAGAAAGATGAGAGTCGCCGCGCGCTCACTGCGCCATTTTGCTGATAATGCTAAAAAAAAACACAATAGTCCTCCCACTTTCCCCGAGATGCCCACCAACAGTGGTAAGTGGTAGATATGAATAGCTTGCCGTTTCAACGTTAAAGGAGGTTTCTCTCGGTAGCTCAGTAATTACGCCTCGCATTCACGACGCGGAGGTCCCACGTTTGTTTCCGCGCTCTGGAGTCCTATTTTGGGATTCTTTCTTTCTTGCTTTTTCATATATACAGATATGTAAATATATACGGTGCATGACATCGACGTCGATGCTGACGCCGGCGGCAAAATCTAGCGGAGAGTGTCCATATAGTTGCTATACAATAACAATCCATATTGGCATTGCATGCTCAAATTCTCGCGACATTGCTGACGCATCTCGGGATTATTTTTGGTAAACGATCAGGCATCCAACCGAGTTTCGAATTACCGAACCACTCACTCGTCTGCCCCGCTCCTATTTGCTCCCCATTTCTTCGGACCAAGTAACCGCTGTCATACGAAATCTAAAAACCACGAGTGCTGCCCTAAACAAGACTAGTTCATCCCATATAAAGTTAAGTGTCTTCCCTATATCTAATATTCTTGCAGATATGATTGCCCAATATTTACGAGAGGGATCATTACCCGCGAACTCAGGTGTGGTAAAGTCACACCAGTATTCAAAAAGGAGATCGTTCATTGGTTACCAACTGTCTACCCATACGTGTCCTTCCGTTCCTCAGCAAAATAATCGAAACATTCCTTGAAAAGCGCTCAACTAAGTACCTCGATAAGTTTAACATTCTTACTGATTATCAGTTTGGTTTTCG